GAGAAATGAAGCTCTAATAGTTGGTAACTGTTACATAAAACAGATCACATCAGACCTAAAAATTTCGCCTCGCAGAGCCATGAACTGATTCCAGCAACGGATGACATTATTTCCTTCACAATTCTAGAGTCAATGATGGTAAAGCGGAGATGAAGCGATTCAAGTCATTAATTTTCATACCAATTAGCGGCAGTCAATTTTTTTTTCCTAGATAATTATGGTTCTCATCTTTCATTCCCGAGATACTGATTTGTAGTTCCTTGATGTAGAACCACATGCAGTGTGATGTGGATTTGGGTTAACTTAGGACTCTACTCCAACGGTCTAAGTTGTGGACTAACAATGTTGATATTTTGAGGAGAATGAGGAATCGCCATCATTGCGGGCATAGCAGGACTTCCACGTCTCAGGCTGGGTACATTGTAATTGCGTTGCCCTGGTGTGTTCGGAGCTGAGGGATACTAAGTGGCGCTTGCAGAGTTCATCGCAATGCCCCCAGAAGACCGCTGCACTTCTCCAATGCCAGGGCTCATAACTGTCGTGGGGAGTTCCATGTACTGAGTCCCTCCATGCGATGAGGACTGTTGTTTGCACTGAGTGGGTTGAGGTAGCTAGTGTGTTCCAGGCTGGTCGCGCTCATGGAAGGGTTGAGGATGTGGACTGTTTCAAACGAGAGCGAGCGGCTGTTGCGTCCGATTGTGTCAATGTGGATCTCTTTCCAGACACTTCGTCCATCCGAGTCTTGGAAACTTATACAGCCTTGTTTAGAGCTACGCGCATGCGCGGCTGGTTTCGTAAAGCCCTGCGTTGATACGTTTGATTGCCTTGCGCTGAGGACACAATCTGTGGAACATTTATACATTTATTTCTGTTATTTTATATTTTTGATATCAGATATAGTTTTTCTAATGCATCTTTTCTGTTATTTTATATTTTTGATTATTTTTTATATAATGTATTTGATATTTCTAATGCATTTTCTTTTAATGTATTTCTGATATATTTTTAATAATTTTGCAATATATTAAAATATTTATGGCCTATATTTTTGATAAAAGATTTTTGGCATGTATTTTTGCTATAGAATTTTGTTAAGCTAACTAGTTATAACAGATCAAAAAATATACTATTGATGCTTTATTGTGTGTTTATCATAGATTTAAGCTTTATCAAAAAAGTTATTTGTCTCTCCAAGCTCTGGAGAATATTAGTGGATGATGCTTGTGAAGTAATCAACAATGAACATATTTGCCTTTTGAGGAATTTGGTGAGTAAGAATCTCCCTTCAAATTGATAAGTGCTCTTATAGTGGATATTATTTTCAGTAATATTAAGGAATTGAAAGAAGCTATGTCTCATAATGCAACTAGCAAGCATTATAAAACATCTATTGTCAAATCCGACCCAATACAGTATATTGTGAAGTGTTCCAATAATACTTATAAATTGTGAAATTGTATGCATTACAATCTTAATTGACAAGTATGGGTGAATTTGTTATTGCATTTAGTATTGTCAATGTTGAAAATAACAAGAATTGGCTGTGGTTTTTGCAAAAACTAAAGAAATCAATTTTTGCATTCCATCTAGTGAGTAGTGAACTTTCAAAGTTCACATTTTTGTTTGATTGATAGAATGGTCTCATTGATGCTGTCAACCTTGCATTTCGAACATGCAAGTATGTATTTTGTATGTGCCATTTAGTGGAGAATTTCCAATGGTAATTTAAGTATCCTATGCTTGTATGAGTTTTTTGGGCAACAACACGAGCACCAATTGTTTTTGATTTTAATATGGAATTTTCAATAGTTTAGACTATATCAAAAGAAGCTGCAAAGTACTTAATAAGCACTAAATCACAATATTGGATATCATTATAGTTTGACAAAAACCAATTTGGCTATATGACTTTAAGTATTATGGAATCTCTAAATTCCTAGATCTTGGAAGCACATGAAATGCCACTAATTCCAATGCTAGAAATAATTTGTTATCAATTCATGGCATGGTACAATGAATGACATATCATAGCTAATATAATTACTAGACTATTGTCAATAAGTATAGAATAGCATATCAAATGGTTGCAAGTATTTATACAAAGATACAATATCATTCTTTCTTTTGCTTTTATATTTGAATGTATGTCAGAGCAATTATCTCATGTTTTGAATTTAGAAAATTCCACATGTACTTGCAAATAGTAGCAGCTATCTAAAATCCCATGTATGTATGTAATTAGTGCTTTGCTATTCATATAACAATTTGTTGCCAATTACACTGCTTATTTTTATACTATTGCATCTCAAAAGTAATTTATGCAATAGCCATCATTCTAATATCATCCATTAAGTATTAAATAGAACCAAGCGACAATGAAATTGATGTTGCTTCAATCCAACCATCCTTAATACAAAGTCTACTCAGCCACCAAAAGAATCATCGCATCTATATAGAGGATTTAAGACTAACCAAAAGAATGCTTAGATATAGTTAATGTAAGAATATTAGGCATAATTGTACAACTTATAAGAAACCGATTTAGTTCCAACGTTGGCATGCTACTTCATATGATATTTAATTTTATTTTCAATAGTTATATTTTGAATCAAATTATGATAATATTGTGAGTTAATTAAAAGAACTACATATATATATATATATATATATATATATATTTAATTTTCAAATGACTACTAATAAATTATAGACTTACAAAAAACAACATGTAATTTTCAATCCAAATATAGATATTACTAGATTTATAGAAAATCATTTTTATTCTATTAAAATAATTTTAATTTTAAAATGAATAATACTATAAATTTATATAGACATAAAAGAATAAGTATAGTCAACATGTAATTATGTCTTTGAATAAAAAAATTGTAGCCTCCTATCAAAATTCATTTCAATTTAAGTTTAGAAAAAAATAATAATCTTTCTTTAAGATGTCATTAAAGAACTAAATTTATTCAACAAAAATTTAAAATAAAAATAAAAATAAAAATTTTAATCAAAATCTTCCAAGTTTCACAAAGAAAAAGAAAAGACAAGGTACTAGAAATCATTTAAACAAAAAAAAAAAAAAAAAAAAAAAAAAACTTAAGGCAAACAAGACCATTGAAAACATCGCAATCATTTAATTTTAGGGGCATGAGATAATTACAACAACTACCATTTTGCTACAAAAAATTAATTGCTTGTGATCTTTAAAATTAGTAAAGGAAAATTTTCACATCCAAACTTCAATCAAACTTTCTTTTAATAAAGAATTAAAGTAAAAACACACAATACAAGAATTTATGTACTAAAATTTTACATCATGAAATATACATAAATATATATATATATATATATATATATTAATAATTTTTAAATCAATAAATAAATCATTTAAAAATATGCTGATTTTTATATTATTAAGATCCTATCAACTGTTTTTTATAAAAATAATCCTGGAAATTAAAAGATTAGTATATATTTTATTTTGGTATTCTATGATAAAATTATTTTTCAAAATAACTAATCAACATCACCTTCTTTTTGAAAAATGAAAAGAATTACATATCAATAGTATGGATCAAAAGTCAACAACATATTTTGACAGAAGATAATAGTATGGCATAATATATGTATGTTGTTGAAAGGTCGATTGGTGTTATTCGAAGAATGAAGTGATGTTTGTATGTAAACAAACATTTGCTTGTGTTCGGATTTCTACTTTTCATCTGTCTGGCGGTTCAGTGTTTCAATTGTTGTTTTTGGAGGACTTGCAGAGGATTGTAAAGATCGAAGTTCTGTGACGTATGTGGAGGTGAAAATATATCACACAATTACCATGAATTTCAAAGAATTGATTACTTGAAATAAACATTGGGCTGCAGTTCTTATTTGTTTTTTCAGTTGAAGAGAATAGCTCCTGTGGAAGCACTGTCCACTTTCCCCAGCAAACAAGAGGAGCTGGTAGTTACCCCTTCACCGAGAGCTATAGATAGTCCTCATATCAACCTGCTATTTGGTACGCATTCAGCTCGACGAGCACATTATAATACAGTAACAGCGAAGCAATGGTACTCCTCGAGAGAGACTGGCATTCCTCTCACCAAACCAGCCTCGGAGAGAATTGCCAAATTGAACGCCCAAGTAGGCAGAGTAAAGAGGATTCTGGTGGTGCGGTGCGGGAGACTACCCCCTTGCTGCGACTGCAGCGGGGATGGGGGATTTCCGCGGGGCCCAGGCACTGCAGAAAAGTGCCGCTCCGGGCCCCAGTTAAACCTGTAACAAACTGGAGACACACAGCTTATCAGCCCATAGCGCATTCTTTGCAATTATCACAAAATGCAGGGGTAGATGTGAGACTATCAAAACTTGAGGGATATTCTTGATATTTCGGGAAAATTCAGGGGCATGTGTGATATTTTCCCTTAATTACATAAAATATATATTTGCAAATAAATGATGATTCTAGAATCAACAAAAAAGTATTCTTAATCATAGCTACTTCAACATTCTTTATGGATGTGTATTTTTAGTGTACACACAAAATACAGAAACTCATAAATTTCTAATCCTTAAACATCAACAAAGAAATCGTTTCAAAACTCTGAAAATAATGAACTAAATGTTTGCATACAACGAGTAAAATTATTCGTATTGGTATGTAAAATAAATGCTTCCAAAATTATCTTAAATAATCATATTTCAAAAATCAACCTCCTCAACATTATATTGTTTTATTATATATACTCATACATAATTATATCTTGTGTGTGTGAATGTGTTTAAGACTTACAGGGACATTGAATGTGGTACACGTGAGCGGATAAACTGAGTGAAGATGGGTTACTTCTAGGTTACAAGTGAGTGGAGAAACAGAGCCCCGGGTGGCAACGGAAGATTGCATGCAGCGTGGACAGAGCAAACGAAGCCAGAGAATGGGGCCCTGCATGCATAGCCGGGATGAAAGTGAAGGGGGCTGCACCGGAACTCCGGGTTCGGGCGTTGAATCTACAAACTGAGCAACTGGGTACCGCAGCGACGGAGGCGTCAATGCTAAGCTCCACTGCGACACAAATATCCCGAAGAGGAGGCAGATAATGAAGTAGACGAAGTAGACGAAGTAGACGAAGTAGACGAAATTAACTAACAGTGGCGACGACGACGAAGACGAAGACGAAGAAAGGAGCAGGGAACAGTAAACGAGCATTTGGTGGCGACAGGACAGAGAGAGAAAGAGGGAGATGGCGAGTGAGAGAGTGAGGTGAATATGGAGGATTAAATTTGGTTGTTTGTGGATGGGCTCGGATTGTAGAGGCGATGGCAGAGACGGGGGTGGGGCGTCATTAAGTCTGTCACTATTTAGGGATCTGGAAGATGGAGGGATGGTGAGTTATGAGTTCATGATCGCCGTCCTTGGAATGGGACGAACCACTGATCTTCTGCAATGGAAGTGAGTGTGTACTCGGCTCGGTCCGCTGTCGCCATCGCCATCGCCATCGCAATAGAACACCTCCGCCAGCCTTCGTGACTCCAGAACCGACGCTCACGTTGACGTTGCAGGGCTGGGTAGCTAGGTGCGACCGCTCTTGGTAATCTCTGCAGCGTTGGCGTTGTTATCAGCTGCCCGCTTCTGTCCCTCTTCGCTGCCATCTCCGCTCCGTATACTCGTGTGACAGGCCCACCCCCCAGGGGCCAGACTGGTGGTGGGGGGTATAGCTAGTTTCGTGGACCTGGACAGGAGTTCAATGCGGCGTTGAGCCAGCGAGCCATCAGCCTCCCCACCTGAACACGCTACCCCTCTGAGCGTCTGCAAATTTGTACCACTTGCATGGGAGTTTATCCAACCAGTTTATGGGATCAAGCACTCGCATTTTGTTTCTTCAGTGCGCACTGCTTTGTTGATACGTAGTGGCTAGTCTATCGTGCTTTTAGCCCATGTATTCCTCTAATATCCCGCCATTCGATGTTTGATCCAGTGGGGCTTGCTTTTTCCTTTGCGCTTTTATATTTATTTTTATTGGCAGCCTCTTCTCTAAGGAAGCGTCAAGTTAGTGTGCTGCATGGAACCTCTTCACCATCCAAACATCAAGTAAACGTCGGGCCAATTTGTGAAAGTTGGGCCGAATTGGAATTGGCCATAGCTCGAAAGGCAACGCTATGATGACATTTGTGTGCTTCAACCCCTGTTAGTCGGGCCAATCGTTCGGAAGAATGCAGTTGAAAGTAATGCTGGATATTCCACAGAAAGGTCAGAGAGTCTAGCTTGGTTTTATTATTAGGGCACCAGGAGGGGTTTGGACATGGCGATTGGAAATGGTCAAGCGGAGTTTGAAAATGGTACCCAGCCCGAGGGGAGCCCGGATTTTCAAGACGACGTGAAGTGTGATAGGAATAAACCTGTAGTACACGGCCATCCTGCGCTTCTTCGATGGACACCTCCGAGAAATCACAATCTCTCCCCAACCCAGTTCGAATCGCTAAAGTCAATTGCCGATACCTTTGTTCCTTCGCTGCCACCGCCCTTCAAAGCCGGCGAGGAATTTGAGCTTATGCCAGGCGTGACGGCTGAAGATGTTGCCAGATTTTACAAATTAAAAGCCTCCGACGAAGATATAATTAACGTGGTACGTTTCGTCATGAACCTTCGAAGTTTTATTCACAGGAACCACTCTGGAAGCCAAAAGATTGAATCCAATTGTGATAATATGATTACTAAGAAGAGAATTTTGAATTGATGAAACTCGTCTGAACGTTTGATGCAGATGGCAGCCATTCTCGAAGTATTGATGAGGCCTCCTGTGCTGAAGTCCGTGCTTGCAGTGCTGCAGCTTTTGGGCACAGGGTGGGGTACAGCTCTTTTGGCTTGCGGGGGCGGAGTGAACACGGTGTCTCTTAAGTACCCTTTCTTTAGGAAATTCGCTAATCTAACCCCTGAAGAGCGAGAGAAGATGCTGCAGGGCTGGTCGACAAGCCTACTCTCTCCGTTGCGACGATTGTTCAAGTCCATGAAATCCATCACAGGATATACTCTTTACTCTAAGGTTAGTTTACCTGAATTTTGATGTTGTCGACCCCTCAAACAACGGGATTTTGTGTGTAATATGCACTTAAGCACATGGTATTTTGGATTATTAGATTAATGACGAGGGAGAGAATGCGGCATGGAAGGCGATCGGGTACACTGGCATGGATCCCACGGTGCGGAGCAGGAGCAAGGAGGAGTATTGGAAACCAAGGCCACTCGGAGACGGTCATGTTGACGCCAAGGAGGCGGGAGTTCGTCTCAAGGCAATCCTCGGGGCGAAGGGGTTCTCGGTTCTTGACGAAATTAAGAGCTTCAGAGTACAATCGAGGAAGTGGGGATATTCGGAGAGCTCGAGTGACATCTACATGGAATGCGATGTTGTGATTGTGGGATCAGGATCTGGGGGCGGAGTCATGGCGGCTGTTCTTGCAAAGCAGGGGTTCAAGGTTTTGGTGCTTGAGAAAGGCCAGTACTTTGCGGCGCAGGACATTACTTCTCTAGAAGGACCGGGGATGGTGAATATGTACGAGAAGATGGGAGCTCAATCGACCGATGACGGAGGCGTGTCGCTCATTGCTGGCAAGACAGTCGGTGGCGGCACGGCCGTCAACTGGTGCGTTTCGTTCAAAACGCCGGAGCATGTGCGAAACGAGTGGGTGAACGATCACGGCCTCGACCTATTCACCAGCGCGCAATACGAGCAGGCCATGCAAGCAGTGTGGAAGCGTCTTGCAGTGCAACCGGAGGTTGACAAGCACAGCTTGCAAAATACAGTGCTGCTAGAGGGATGCAAGAAACTGGGCTATGAGTGCGGCACATTGCAGAGGAACTGCTCCCCTGGTCACTACTGCGGGTGGTGCAGCTATGGGTGTCCAACGGGGAAGAAGCAGTCGACCGCCGAGACGTGGCTCGTTGACGCCGTGAATACCGGCAACGCTGTGATTCTGTCAAATTGTCATGCAAAGCATGTGTTCCATGATGCAAATCCTGGTGGCAAGAAGGCCAGGAAAGGTCACGGAGTCGTGGCGACGATTGGTGAAGGATCGACTCGGATTTTTGTCAAGGCAAACGCCACTGTGATCGCTTGCGGAGCGCTGCTGACTCCGCCTCTGCTTCTCCGAAGTGGCCTTAAGAATCCCAACATTGGCAAGTATCTCCGAGTGCATCCGGCAACCACATGTTTTGGTTACTTCCCCGAAGAAGTTGAACCGAAAGGAAAATCTTACGAAGGGGGGATCATGACAACGTACTCGCCTGTCACACTGCGCAAGCCGACGGAGTATGGCGGTCTTCTCGAGACGGGAGTGTTCCATCCTGCAGTCTTTGCAGCATTCCACCCATGGCAATCAGGTAACGCAATCATCTACAATCTCCCCCTTCAACCCAACGATTATGGTCGCTTCTGACATATAGAAAAAGCACTAAGCACTGACCTTGCGTTTCCGGTGTCTGCACTGCATCTAGGCGCTGATGGCAAAGAGCGTCTACTGCACCATGCCCGAACCTCCCACATAACAGTCGTCACCCGAGACAAAGGCTTTGGCACGGCGAAAATAGACAACGACGGACTCCCCATGTACAGTTACAAAATTTCGCCGTATGACGAGCAGACGTTAATAGCAGGAATGATCCAAAGCCTGCGCATCCTGGTAGCAGCCGGAGCAGTGGAAATCGGCACCCAACAGCTGGACGGCGAGCGGTTCAAAGTGAAAGGCAATGAAATCTCCACAAACCCTAGCTAGATTCCGAAGCATTGTAACTCAAACTGGCCAATTCGGACTGACTCATCGAACTGCATCGTGGTCACTGCAGGTGCGACGCCAGCGCAAATCGAAGAGTATTTGGATAGGGTGAAGCGGCGGCGCGCGAGGCAATCGTCGATACAAATTGCGTCGGCGCATCAGCTGGGCAGTTGTCGCATGGGCACAAGCCCACGAACGTCGGCGGTGGATGCGAGGGGGGAGACATGGGAGGCGGAAGGTGTGTTCGTCGCCGACGGCAGCGTACTACCGACATCGTCCGGCGTCAATCCTATGGTCACTATTCAGTCCATCGCATACTGCACCGCCGATTCCGTCGCTCATTTTCTTCACGGCGCTTCTTCCGCGAAGTAGCACCCCCACCCCCCGCGCTCGTGATGGTTGATACCCGGCCCCGCCACTACTCTTTTCAGTCCAGACTTGACGTTTTAATATCTACTTCAATGAGCCTCACCGACCTGTGCGCCAACTTCTGTTCCACTTTTTTTTGTCTTTTGCTTTTACTTTCTCGTTTTACTTTATCTTTTTACTTTCGCTGCGACGTCCCTTGCTCTTTTTTTTTTTTTTTTTTTTTTTTTTTTTTCTTCCTTCTACTTTTTAATATGCTTTTCTGAGCCTCTTTGACCTGCACACAACCTTCTGTTTATTGCATGCATCGTGCAATCAAAAAGGATTTTTCCCAGGTTTGTCTGTAAAGTAATTTAATACCTTGGTTTCTACTGTTGAAGCACAGTTTTGACAATGTGTTTACAGTGTATATTTGTCTTTTGTTTTGATTACAGAATGTTGGTGTGGTAAGCTAAAATTATGTACAACTAACTAATTTTATGCAGTTTGGGATTTCTTTTTGTTTTTTGTTGTATGATTAAGAAATAAAATCCTTAAAAATGTGTATATTCTTTTAGTGAAATTTTCTGGTTTGAATATCATAATTAGTGGCGAATTTAATGAAAATAAATGCTTGATTGTCCAATTTGCATGATAAATTTGATTTTTATTACCTAAATGAAAGTATTTATTTTAGATATTCCAAATTATCTTATGTCACATGCATTTTAAATTTTATATACTTGTATTTATATTTCTTTCTTAAATTTTATTAACTGATATAATAATTGATGAAAAATATACATAAACTTATCAAACAAATTTTATTGTAGGTTCTAAAAAGTTTCTTGATTAGAGAATAGTAAGATAAAATCTATTGTTTTTATTTGCATATGATTTCATTTAGAAAATAACACTTTACATATTAATTTCTATAAAAATATTTTAAAAAATGTAGAAAGTAAAAAATAGTAATTAATGCAAAAGCCATTTTAAAAATATTAATATATAAATGTACTATCTTTGTTCTTTGTTAATTTGTTTTTGCAAGTTAATTGTATAAATATATTAATAATTTAAAAGAGTAAATATTTTTAAATATTTAATAATAACATGCAAAATTTATAAAGTATTAGCAACAAATCTTATTAAACATCAAATTTTATTAAAATTTTTGTACAAGTCATTCAAATAGAAGTTTGATTATTTTGGATATAAGGCATGTTTTTTGTGTATTTATATTTTTTGGATAAATTAAGAAGAAATTCAAAATTCAAAGTAATATAATTTTTCTAATTTCTTCTTTTAACCACAAAAATCTAAAGTGTGAAGATTTATGGATTACAAAATATGATTAGATTACTACTTTGAAGTAGTAAGTTTGAAAGAGCTATTATTGTGGTTGATTTTATATTGATAATAGTTTTTATATATTTAGAACCACCTTTATTAGGCATTGGTGATTCTTGAAATCTTGTTTTATTTTTTTTATTTAGTGTTTAGAGCACATACTCTCTAAAACTTATTATAAAAAAGATTAGAAAAAGATTTTGTGTAAAAAAAGATAGTTAGACCAACCATATGGATGAATGGAGATAGATGATGAAAATCTTCATTCTTATTGGCCAAAAGCCATGCCCAATAGGCTTTAAGGAGGCTGCTTGAGGCCTTATTATATGGTTTTAGTGAAAATTTTGTATACTTTGGAGTTTTTGAGAAAAAGATATAAGTGCTCAAAGTTAAGGTATTGATTTTGTACCTATTCTCATTCTTTAGGGCATAATGCATGTGTATAAAAAACGTTATTGTGTTGTACTATGATTATATGGTGAAAGATAATAATATGGATCTTGTTATAGAAGAACCAAGTTAAAAGATAAAGTAAAAAAATATAGATAAAATATAAGAAGGTAATAAAAATTTTAGTAGTGATACTGCCTTTTTAGAAAAGTGACTTCTACTTACTTTGTAGGGCAATAAATAAGGTAAAATAGGGTAGATTAGAAAAATAAAAGATATATGCATATGTAGGAGAGAGTTAAGAGTTGGTTTTAGAAAAAATTACCTAAAAAAACTAAATATTGATACCTGGAGAGGGCCAGTTATGAATCTGGATTGAAAATAGATTCTAAGACACAAAATTGAGTCTCAACAATAATTCAGGGGTTCTTATATTGATTGAATTGTGGGATTTAGAGGAGACTTGATAGAATTTTTGTAGGCACTGATTTTAAGGGATTTGAGTAGATAATGACTTTCTAAGAGCTTTGCAAAGTTGTTGTTGTTTTCAATGACTCTAGTTTTTGGAAATAAAATAGAATTAACATTTTGGACAATTTCAAGAGTTTGATAACAGATGCACGGGTGAAATTTTTTGGATTTGTGGATGTAATTGTGTTTAATGTGTACTATGAATTTGGGTTTGATTGAACGGTTGGATTAAAAAGCATGAAGATTTTTGTGGATTATGGTCTCAAAATTCAAGGTTTTGAGGACTAGTGAGGTTTTCCTAGATATCTGTCAATCCGCCAGTTAGATTGAGGCAAAGTTTTTTTTGAAAGAGATAGTCAGCTTGATTTTTAACAAGTGGATTAAACTTGGAAGCAAAATAACGATTCAATTAGGAATAATGGCTTTGGAAGATTAGCATCAGGGTTAGAGAAGAAGGCCAATGGACACTTGAATATATTTTTGAGATTATCGTGTATTTGATAATTTTGATCATTTTTAATTTTATTTTGTGCATAGTTTTGACTTAATTAGTGAAGAATGTGTAATATTTTAGTTGGAATCAATGGTTCAAATATTAGTTATTGAATTTCAAAATCTATCATAAGGTTGTTAGAAATTTATTTAAGATTTAAAAAATTAATTAGGATTTGGTTAGGGTTAGAACTTGGTTAGGATATATGTTTTGGTTAGAATTAGGATTTGGTTAGGATTAGGATTTGATTAGGATTAAGATTTGGTTTGGTTTAGGCTTGGTTTGAATTTCTTTAGAGTTTCATTAGGATTATTTAGGATTTTTTTAGAGTTTCTTTAAGATTCTTTTAAGATTCTTTAAAGGTTCTTTTGAATTTTTTTAGGTTTTTTTAGGATTTTCTTATATTTTTTTATAGTTTATTTTAAAAATAAAATAATAATAATTGGACTTAATTGATGCTTGGTTTTATTTGTTAAGCTTATATAACAATTTATATATCATTTTATTAGAGGACTTAGGACTTGTTGCAAATTCCTTTTATCTTCTACAGCCAAGTACTCAACACATTCTTAAGTAAGACTTTACATAATACAAGTGTGTTTGATGATCGAATTATGTAATTGAAAAGTTGGTTTAAAAGACTATATTTTGCATGTAAAAAGCAAAAGGTTTGGAGTTGATTTACAGAAGAAATAACTACTTGAAGATAGTCCTTCCAAATTGAGATTTGTGTTAGGGACATAGTCCTTAGAACCTTCTAGAGATAAGTTTCTAGAACCTTCTAGAAGCAAGTCTCTGGAACCTTCTAGAAGCTTCCTAGTTGGTAGAAGTTGCTTGAGAAGCTTCCTAAATAGGAGTATATATTGGAATCGAGTTTGAAGAGTTCTTCAGTCTCGACAACACATCTCTTGGAGCTCTAGCTCACCTCTCTGGTGTTGTTCTCATCTGATTAATCTAGTTCTTGTCAGTTCTTCTTGAACTTCTTGTTAGATCTCGAGTCTGTATTTCTGTGTCAGTGACAATTTGTCGAGACTTCACTCACCTCAGATATCAGAGCTAATTTCTTCTTTGTTAGAGTGTAGATTACCCCTCTGCTTGGAAGTGTACTAGCATTTTAGAGGTTGCAGATTACCCTCCTCTAAATTGATACTTCTTTTGTTACAATATTGGAGTCTTATTCTTCTTGGAGAGAGTGGATTATCCCTTTTCTTGAAGCTCTTAAGGCATTTTAGAGGTTACGGAGTACCCTCCTCTAAACCAATATTATCTTCTTGTAGAGTCATTTTTGTCCTTCTCTTAGAATGGCCGAGGGCCAAGACATTAGTATGGCAGAAAGTTTGGAGTCCAAGTTGGATGCTATCATGAATGCCCTCGCTACGTTATTGCAAAGAACTGCAGAGATTGAAGGAGTCGTGGCAAGGCTTCATAATGATGGAGCATCTGGGATGGCACAATCTAGGTTGCACCAGTCTCAAACTTCTGCACTTGGAGAAGCAACTTTGCCTCAGGTTTGACAAGCACCGCTGGTTCTACAACATAAGGAGCCCCGAGTTAGCCTCTCGGACAAGTTCGATGGTACGCGTTCTAAGTTTTGAGGATTCGTCAACCAAATCAGGTTGATAACAGTTTTACAGCTCGAACGCTATCCAATGGAGGAGTCACGTGTTGGGCTTGATGGAACCTTATTTATAGGACAAGCTCTATCATGGTTTGCTCCTTTGTTTGAGAAACGATCGTCCGTACTAAACAACTTTGAAACCTTTTTGGAGGCGTTTGCGAAAGCATTTGGTGAACACAACAAGGTTCAATGGGCTACAACAAAGATCCGGTCACTACGACAAGAGATGCGCTCTACATCAGTCTATGCATCAAACTTCAGGCAATTAGCATGCGACATCAATTGGGACAAAGAAACATTGATGAGTCAATTCTATTGGGATTTAAGAGATGATGTGAAGGATTTGCTGTTAACTCTTTCTAATCCGTAAATGCTCAACGAAGTTATTAGCCAAGCTATGAAGTACGATAACCGCCTATTCCAATGCCGCCAAGATCAACGTTCAAGACAACAAATAGTTCGCCACGTCCAAACTATGTCGACAAGCAGCATGAATTCATATTCAGAGGTAGAAGACATGCAAATTGATGTGGTACGTGTCAAATCCCTTACCCTAGAAAAAAAAAAGCGGTGTATGGAGGAAGGTCTATACTTGTATTGTGGTGAAGAAGGCCACAAAGTTAGAAACTACCCGAAGAAGTAAAATCGACGTATTTTTAAGAATAGAGGCACGTTTATTCAGGAAAACGAGGTTGCCCAGCCATAATAGGAACCTTGCAGCTGGACAGTGAAATATCGCAACAACAACCAGGTTCTTTTCTTTCCGCTCAACCTACCTTTTGTTTTACAATCCTTTTGCTTATTGGCCCTTAGAAACTGAGAACCTTAATATTATTAGATTCAAGAGCATCTGCTTATTTCTTAGATGAAGAATTTGTGAAGCATCATAAGATCTCTTTAGTATAAAAATCCAAACCTATTCACGTTGAGGTCATAGATGGGCGACCTTTATTGTCTAGTAGTGTCACCCATGAATCAGAACCTATAGAAGTGACATTTAAGGGCCATAGTAGTCATATTATTTTCAATATTATTAGAATCCCATCAAATCCTGTTATTCTTGGTCTTACTGGTTGGAAAAGCATAACCCATC